GCATGCCCTGACCTTGGCGGTACAGAACCACGCAGCCCACATGTGCATGTGCCCGACGGATGCACATCCATGCCCCCCGTTCCTGCCTCTGCAGGGTCACTCACAGATCCCTCCTCCCACCTCCCAGGGCTGAGAGCAGCAAGTGGGGCTATTTCAGCTGCAGAACACCAGTAACAAGAATCCCCAGGGACCTCCTTGGAGGGCGGGCAGCAAGGCAGAAAGCAACGTACATGTGACCTATAGACCTCAAAAAAAACCATGGTTTTTGGGTAAACAGCTTCATGCTGTCCTGAGTGCACGTGATCGCTTACAACTGAGTGATCCCGAACAATAACACACCCTGTTGTTCATATCCATCCCGCTGGTCACAGGTGTCAAAAACAGAAATAGGATTTCTGTGATTACCCTGGGAAGCCTCTTGGACATCCTGCATCACCTCACGTTTGGTACAAATGCAACCAAGGGTGGCTGCTCACATGGCAAGAAGAAAATGCTCCTCCAAGCCCTGAGAGGCAGATTTAATATTAACAGCACATGCTCTGACGACAAAAGGTAGCTCTGCAATCTGTAGGCTGTACAAGCTGATGCAGATGGTGTACTGGGCTTCTGGAACTTACTTTTTTTTTTTTTTTTTTTAAGCTGTGAAGCGTTGCCTATATCCTGAATGCAGGAGGTCTGAAGGATGGGGGGTGCAAATTTCCAAAGCAAGCTCAAAGGCTGATACCTCAAGGAGAGATGAAACAGAGAGCTCATCTGAAACAAAAAGAGGCTGCTCATGCTCTCTCCTCAGGCACATTATATGGTTATATAGAGGTGATCTGTGTCAATGGCCCAAGCACTTCCCATCCTTTCCAAGTAACCACTGCCAGGGATTTTCCTTGCAAGCCTACCACAACATCAAATACTTAATGCTTCAACAGGGGTGGAAGATAAGGTTTCTGAAATTGTCCTCCACAAGGGATCTCTATGGGAAAAACACAACCTGACTGAGTGCCTCAGAAGTTCCAGGACAGTTGGGTTTGGAGGAGCAGGAAAAGAAACAGACCTTTTTTTTCTACTAAAGGCAACGAGGAGAAAGAAGGGTCAAGCAGGGCCTCAATCACAAGAGCAGCCCAGGCTGGAATTCAGGTCATCTTGGAGCGAAGACAAGGACTAATAATTGAGAGAAATAAGTGTGCGTCTTGAGAAAACAGTCAACTTTACTGCGTAATCCGAGCTGCAAAGAGCCCTTCTTGCTATTAATTACCTCATTACCTCTGCTTTAGGAGAGGACGTGAGCACGCCAGACAGCCATCCAGCACTGCTCCTGCAAGACGAAGCAGCGAGGCTGGAGGGGCAGAGCCCTGGGCTCAGAGAGTCCAAGAACCCGGGGGGCTTGCGAAGGAGGTGCCACTCTCAACATCTTGCTTCATTAAGGATAGGAATTTTCAGAAAGATGAATGATTTTTTCTTCTTTCTGACCCCAATGATCATGCTACTGTCTGACCATAAATTCTGTATCTGTCCATCGAGCCAGTTACGTACTCAACAAAGATTCACCAAATTCAGCAGCAGAAAAAGGGGCAAGACCCCCCTGCCCCTTGTAGCCTCCAAACCAGGACAATGGAAAGTTTCCAGCAAGAGGTTGGAAACCAACATGGGATGTAGCTAAGTCTGTAATTCCGTAAGGGAGGAGAAGGGCCACAGCAGGCAGAATGGGCACATCCCAGGCCTTAGGCTGCATTCTGCCTGCTCTTCCAAAGGGCTATGCAAGGAGTAACATATCCCTTTCCAAAGAGCTTGCAGGAGAGCATTCATCCATCACGCTGCAGGACAGGAATTTGGCTCTCATAAAACCGAGGAATGGCTCTTGACAGTGCAGGTGAGAATTCTTCTAGTTCCAAATCTCAGGTTACAGGAAAAATCAGATTAGAATAAGATCTGAAGCATGAATAGCCCTGGAATGGTTGAGCGAAGCGAGATATAGTAGCGAGATATAGTAGGAACCTAGTATTGCTGTTTACAACAAACAAACGAACAAATAAGAGTAAGAAAGTGAGAAAGGGAAAATAGCTGAATAGATTCAGGAAGAAAATAGCTTGAGCTGCCTTGCCTCAGTGTGGCAGCTAAACTCTTTCCTGGATGAGTCTAGATCACCACCGGCCGGATACAAACTCTGAGGTGAACTTAGTTAATGTGGCTTTTATCTTGTGGGCAAAATCAACCACGGACACTCAAAGCAAAAATCGGATGACTCGGTGGTGCCTACAAGGAAATGGTTACGGGAGCCAAGTTCCGCACCAGCTGTGGTGACCACATTTTGGCAGACTGCAGCAGACCAGCGAGCAGACACCTCAGTACGTACAGTCCGGAGCCAATAAGTACAGCAGAAATATGTTTTGTTCCTTTCCATTCTGTGGGAGTAGTTTGGGCTGCTTATTCGCTCCCAGGCTGGAAGGTCTAATCAGAGCCAAGCCCAGAGCTGCCCTATCTGCACAGGATCCAGCTGCACAGCTCCAACAAGCCGCATCTCCTGCTCCTGTGATATATTTCACAGCTGCGAAGCCCCGACAGAGCGACTGACCTCACGCGGGTGACAGGGCTTCTGTGTGGAGCGCGACTCGCACATGTGGCACAGGACAGGGGGATGCGGCTTTCAAAGTGGCTTCTTGTAACACGGCTTGGAATTACATGCAAAAACAAACATTCACAGGAAGCCAGAAAGTTCGTAGTTAGAGAGTATCACTACCCTCTCAGGGAAATCACAAAACCACCCCCACTGCTGCTTTTCCATCAGGCTGCTGGACAAGCACCTTCCCTGGCAATGTCCTGGCAGAGTAATGACGAGACCCAACTCAGAACAGGATCAGGGCTACAGCAGAGCACGAAGCAGCAGGGGCAGCTCTCGCCCATCGTCCCGCCAGGTTCATGCAGAGCTCTAGCCACAGCAGAGCACGAAGCAGCAGGGGCAGAGGGGCAGCTCTCGCCCATCGTCCCACCAGGTTCATGCAGAGCTCTAGCTGGAAAGCAGACACCAATCCACACCAGCCCTGCACTCACGTGACAGCCTGCTGAGGCTAACTTAAAGGGAAAACAAAATTACATAAATATAGGCATAGATAATTATATAATTACATGAACTAGATATACAGAACAAGTCATTCCCCTATACAAGTTTGAAATAGCAATGCTATCACCACTTGCTTTCCTTCCTGAAGTTTTACAATGTTTAAAAATCACCACAGAAGCAAGAGAGAGATGCAGCCTTTCCTCAGTACAGAGGAATACCAGCCCTCCTTGGGCAGACAACCAGGGTTCACCTGTCCCCAGCTATCTGCGCTTGTCAAAGCTTCTGGATGGGGAGTTTAAACGAGCCCAAGCGAGAACGACAAACCAAAAAGAAATCAGAGAAAGAGGAAGATTCTCACAGAATAATCAAGAAAAAGTGATGAAAAAAACATGTAATGCCTTTTTTAATGTGCTCCTGTACCCAAGTTAGCACAGTACGGCTTTTACTCTGTTAGGTATAGTATTCACTACATTAACTTTTTATAAGATTGTATCTGTTGGATTTCTAAAAAGTACTGTGTAACTAATGAACATCTAAATAAAAATATCTACAATGAGAGCAAAACACTTTAATATGACAAAAATTAACAAGGTCAGACCTACAGTTCTTATAAGTTAGCCTTAAGTTTTAGCATGAAGTGACTTCCAAATGCCTTGTCTTCACTGGGTGGGTTAGTTCTTGAATTTCAGAAAAGCTTGTATAGGCTAGCCAGGCTGAAGTAAAAATATTTTCTGTTACTCATTCAAAAAGCAGGATTATTTTTAGTAATGCAGGGGAGAAGGAGGAAATCAAGGACTCTTCTAGGTATTTCTTAAACATGAGTAAGTATACAGACAGATCTTTTGAAAACCAAGATTCACATTAGGCAATATTTTAAATATTAAAAAAAAAGGGGAAAGAAAAAAATCACTCCCTCGACTAGCAACTTTTTCTAACTAAAGCCTAGCCAAAAAGCCATCCATAGCTCCTAAAGCATTCTGAACTTCTTGGATAATGTCACCTCTTACCTCTTCTACTTTGTTATTTTCCTATGTGACTGTCAACATTGCTGTAAATTCTATTAATTACATTTATTACCACACCACTATTAACTCAAAAATTCATCTAGGAAAAAAAAAAACACAGAAAAAAAAATGTACCATGAGTAAACGAGTAAAACCTGATCTTAAATTGAAGCATTTATTTTGACTGTACAAAGATATGTCAGTAGCAACACTAGGAAGACTATAAGTGCATATTATTCAGAGTACAGAGCTATCTAAGGTCCTGTTTCCAGTTGTCTATTGAGGCTTGAGAAAAAAACAGAATTACTTCTTTATGCAGAGCTGAAACCGCTAACACTTAATAACCAACAGTATTATTTACTATTGCAAGGGGACAGAGTCTTTGTTCTTTAGCACCTCTCCTGACTGGATTTACCAAATAGACTTCCTAAAATTAGGAACTCAAATTCATCTCTATATTTTTATACCACAGGTGCTCATCACCTAAGAAAACACAGAGCTCCTTATCTAGAGATGCCAACATCTATTTCTTCATTAGCAACTTTCACAATCAGAACAGAAGCAAATCCAAACAACCACATGGCTGCCAGAACTTCAAGTCTTATTCTGAATTTTAATAGTGAAGACCATGGCTGAAATCATCAATTTCAGTCAACAACATCCAATTAAAAATATCCCTTTAAATTACAGTTTCTCCAATTAACGCTAATCACACGTAATAACAACAACAACAAAAATCGGAAAGTAGGTGCCAATCATTTATAAAACAACTATTTTACTGTAGAGATTCCTTTCAATCAAGCAAATATACTGCAATGATTTTATTAAATCTATTATTCATCAACAGAAATAAAAAACATTAGCTTAATCCCATAAAATATGTGAAATTGGTGGATAACATTCAAAATAAAGGCACAGAATAAAATATTAGTATGTACATACATTACCTTAGCATTCTCAAGCAGAGTATCATCTCTACCTAAGCCAGGTCCTATGACAACTGAGTGCAGTCGTGGCAACCATTTTTCCACCTCGTGGACAGCGTTGGGACTATCACTAAATGGAATTGGAAAAATAAATAAATAAGCAAAGACAAGTTCAAAACCCCAAGTTCCAGATCAAAAACAGAAGGAGATATCAGATTTTCAGTGTCAAGCAATTTTATCTTCCAAATTACCAAAAATTTGCAGCCTTGGAAATATGAAACGGTTGTCCAAAAAGTTAAATTGCAACATTCTTTAGCAGCAATCACATGAAAGTGAGGAAATATTTACAAGTATCTACTATAGCTATTATTAAACGAACACACACAAACAAGCAGACACGAAACCAGCAATTGTTACAATCTGACACAGTTCTCTGTTTCTCTATAGAGATGACAGGTTTTCTTGAAAAAGATCCACCACCTCCCAGGCATAAACTGCAATTTGCTGAAATGATGCAACTATTTATTGCTCCGCATGGTGAAATGATGAATCTCCTCATAGGCGTTTTTTGTCAGTTGCTTCATAAGCTTTCGTTCCAACTGAATTACAGACAAATTGTCCCCATTCCCCAAAAGGCAACGGAAGAATCAAGCTATTCAGCAAGGATATTATCTGGCTGTAATGCTTAAGCTTTCTGTAGCATTTACGTTTTGTCCACGTCGAGATAAATGACCGGAATATTCGCTGCCAAACACAACTGCTCCAATAGGCTATTCAGCAATTGATTGGAGCAGCTTCTTTAGTTCTGATCAGTGCTGTTGTGTCAATAAGTCAGAATATTTGTCGAGTGCTGCACCCCAATGTTGAATATATCCTTACCGGCAGCATGGACAGCAGGATTAGTTGTGTGTCTCCCCTGACACAGTGGTTGGTAATAGATGAACATTTAACTGAAGTCTGGGGGGGAAAAGATCCCTAATCCTTGAGCAAAGCAACACTGTACGACAGTATTACTAGGAGTATTTTGAGCCCACGATCCTTCAACAAAGCTTTGTTATTCCGGGTAAAAGCCTTTGGGGGTTTTTCGGGAACCCGCCGCACGGCTCTCTGCCTTCTCCGCCACGGCCGCCTACTGCTTGTTTGGGATGCAGATATGGGCTGGCCATGAAAATATTTCAAGAAATATTGAAAGCATCATTAATGTTTTTCCTTTTTTTTTTTTTTCCTCCTTTACGTATAGTAGGTCAAGCATGTGAAAAATCTCCTGAAATATCACCATTTCTGAATGCCGGTGACATTCTTTTCTTATTCCCATATTGAAACAGATTCTAGCTGGAGAACAAGAAAGGTGATCTATGGCAAAATCCTGCTCTTTGACTTTCAGTAGTAGAAGCCTAACATATTAAATACATTAGTGCTACTTTAAACACAAGCTAAGTGCAGATCCAAGCAAGTACCATAATTTTCTCTGCTGTTTTTCAAACAGCTCAAGAAAACAATCTCAGAGCCGGAAGCTTGTTAATTTATTTATATTCAAACCTGAGATAAGGTAATTTTGTCTCCAGCCCATCGATAATAGACACTCTTCAGAACAGAGCCACCTCTTGGGAAATGAAGGGCCCAACATTGAGTCGCTGCGGCTCACTTTGCCTCCGGTGACAATAAAAGCCTACAGGAGAGCTTTTCATCTTCAAAGCGTTTTTCAAACATGACGTTTCACATAACTCCTTCGCAGTTTCACATCAGGAAGCGACCCAAGGCACACGAAGGGCCAAGAGATTTAAAAACATGATTACACTGCAAAATCAACGCCAAAAACAAGCTGAAAAGTAACCGATGGAGTTTGATCTTTCGTAAGGCAGAAAAGAGTACTAGCTCAGAGCAGCATCACGACAGCTTCCCTCTGAGATGCCTCATGCGCAGAACAGCTGTGATGATGCAGGGTAGGGCCCTCCCCTATCTCTGCAGCTGTCCCAAATGCAGAAGGGGTATCACGGTCTTATGCACAAACATTAATGAGCAATATTTCTAAGCTGATAAAGTAAAAATGACCAATGAAAAACCTTCAGGAAAATAAACGGATATGACCTTGAAGGGCTCTGACCATGAGAGGGAGTGAAAGGCAGGACCTTTACTGGCTCTTCATATTCATAGCTACAAAACAACCTAAACACATTCAGAATAGTCTCTGCCCAATTACCAAACTGCTACATTTTAATATCACTTCCACTGCTGAATGCGTGCATGCAACTGAACCTATCACTGTATTTTTTAAGAAAGTGTTTAGAGAGGTATGAGATATGAAGCCAACACTCCCTTAATCAGAAGAGATGCAGCATTCAGCTTGTGATGGAAAGAAAGATCAAGTAAAGCAAGAATCTCTACAGATGCAGAGCCAGGAGATAAGCAACTTGGCTTCTTTTCCAAAATGGAAATCTCCAATGCAAGATCCCTACTCCCAAGAGTAAAACTAATATTAACAGAAAGAGGGGTCACAGACTTCTTGCAAGGTCAAGAGAAAAAAAAATCCACTTCTGAAAAGAGACAAAATTCTTTAAGGAAGGTCTGTTTTCTTTCCTCATGGAGAAATTGATTAAATAAAGATCAGGAAATTCCCAAAGTAAAAGCAAGATTTTTTTGAAGGAGGTGGGGCTGGAGATGGAACAACAGCCTGGCTTTCCCCTACCACGAAAAGAGAAACTCTGCACCATGAACACATACAATGGGAATAATTCGGGATGCTGAATCCAAGCAGCAATATTTTGTAAACTGGAGAACAAGCTACAATACCATTGTGCAAATGTGTACAATAAAAGATGCTGGTGACAAACCACAGTTGCAGATTTGCAGGGAATAAACAGATGAGGAAAGATCTACTTAGCTTCCAGTTAACCACTAAGATCTACCACGGGAAAAAAAACACGCAGATAAAAGATTGCAAGAAAGCAGAATCATTAATAAAGAAGTATGAAGGAGTTTGCATAACTCTTCTCATTCCTGTGAAGTCTACTGCATAAGGAGGAGTCTACAGATAACATCAAATATCAGAGAGATGATCTCCATAAAACAGATGTGATCCAACTACCTAAGCCAGCAGGCAGAGCAGCTCACAGGGGCACATCCTCACATCGCACCCCACAGACGTCCATCCATCTTCATCAGCCACTGGACAGAGGAGGGGGAGAGCTACAAAGCTCTATTCAGCAGCGTCCAAGAAGACTGAAACTTCTCGGGAAGCCAGACACAACGGCTTTATCATTCACCTTCCCCAAGTCTCCTGCACACAAGGTGTACAGTGTGCTACATGCTTATCTTTCTGCTCTTTTCTCTGCCTCCTAATGTATGTTAAGACATATTTTTCAATCCTAACTTAAATCCTAAAAGGAAATAGCCTTCTTGCAAACTGAACAGCACCTGTTCTCTGAAACAGGACAAACTTTCTGCCCGAATTCTTGATGACTTTAATGAGCATGAACACTCAGAAAAAGAAAAGTATCGCACAGTCATCAAGGAAATAGGTTTATACTGGGAAATTTTGCATGGAAACAAAGAACTGCAGAGCAGAATTAGCAAGGGAAGAACTAGGAGCTGTATAAAGGGCAGATAACCAGCCAGGAATGGCAGCAAAGACAGCAGGCAGCAGCATGGCAGATTTTCATGTTTGTTTTAGGCTGACTCTTAACCAAGTTAAGAGATTTGATACGGACTTCAGAAAAGGATCATCAGTGGGACCTCCTGCCGCGAAAGGAAACTGGTAACACAAACAAGGCTGCTCCCCAATTGACTGTAATTCCCAAAACTAGAGAACATGTTTTTCAAATTCTGCTCATTATCAGTGCACACTAGGAATGACTGAGGCAACTCCTCATGCATTTAAATGCATCATTGCACAGGTTTGTTATGTAAACTGAGACAAAGCAATTTCAAGTGGGCAGTTTCAAAACTCGACCTAGAGTCTTATCTTCAAAGTTAGGGAAAAGCCTCTGATCTGAGAATGAAAGAGTTTTAGTTTTGTTTGTCCAAGTGCCGCAGGAATTATATTCCTGTGAATCAAACGTTAAGACCTGCTGACATTTAGATCCTGTCACGTCACACAGTACATCAAAAGAGCGAAAGAGAGCACATACTGTGTAGTTCTAGAATTTAAGTAGCTATCTTAGAAAGCTAATTATTAACTATTATGGTAAAGCTCGGGTGAGGTCACTATAGGAAACTCAGTAAATAAGATAGGGAGAGAGATTATTATGGACAGGTTAGGCCAAAGGAATTAAAGGCAAAACTAAATAATGCAAAAAAAAGTCTAAACATTAGGTTACAATACAAACAACATATATGCATGCACACACACACAGATATATATAGGGGGAAAAGCTATATTCATCAAATGTGTAAATCATCGTTCTTGTAAATTAACTCCAAATTTCTGAAAGCTCGAAGTCTTCAGAAAGCAGCACCTTTCAATCCCACGAACAGAATTATAAATCATTAGACTTATTCTAGAAGTCTCCTTGATCTCATTATCAACTCAGAGGTCTCTGACCAAGCATGTCAGCCAGATCAAATCGCAATGACCACACTGACATGCAATTTCCTGGATACTATTAGTGACCTAAAAGAGACACTTGGTGAATTAAGATCGGTGTATTAAAAATAACAAAAAGAAAGTAGGGAAGGCAAAATGGGTATTTTCATCTATGGGGTTGTTGAATGATCCTTATGCAGAGCTTGGTTCACAAATGCTAGGTATGATGATTGTCATTTTTTCTGCTGTAATCAGGAGCAGCGCTGCAGCAGGCAGGAGGGATGCGCAGGTGCTGCATGGTCACGGGAGGAGCGCGCTCTCAACGCGCAGACACTGCAGTCTTGACTTGCTCCACGTTCTAACTTCAAGATGTTGAGAACACAGAAGTTGTGTTCCCACAGCTACCCAGGCGTGAGTTTGGGAAAAAAACATACTAAACACCGATAATAATGGCAACAAGGCCTGAAATGTGTTGCACAGCCACTACTTGGACACCACTCTTATTCAGGTATCTAAATTGCTTCACTAGGCACCAGGCAAGGATATTACTAAGATGCTACAGGCACCTGGGCCAACAAGAGCTCCCTCAGGAATCAAGCCACACGCATGACAGAAATGCAGTCACCTCTTCTGCAGGGCAGAGCCTCGCACTGCCTGCAAGAGCTCTGAAGGAGAAGTTCCCACCGCAACCTGCTTCCCGAGCCTTCTCAGATGGACATGACAACAGCACTCAAGCACAACTCTATCCAGCCTTGTAGAAATTTCACAACTATCAACAGAACCATTTTATAGCCTTCACTTACAGACATCCAGATCTTTGAAGCAGTTACAGTGCGTTTTGATCTCAATCACATTTCCAGCGTGTATTATGATAATCTCCTTCAAAAGAAAAGTGATAATCAAATGTCTTGTTGTTTTCATATGTTGGAGATCATGGAAGAGGTCTGGATCTACTAATATTTCCTACAAACTGGCTTGATAACTAGAACCTCTCAAATGTCCTTCCAAATGAACAGCCATCAGACAAAACCTATGATTTTAAAAGCAATAAAATAAGGCTGAAATGACAATGGAACTGAGAATGTAAACAATAAGAATGTAAGTAAATGACTTGAAATGTCCCTGAAAAACTACTACAGATTATTATGTTTTAACATTAAATCTAATAAAGTGATTATTTTTTTTTTATTTTATTGGTATTGCCCTCTAGATTACATTTGACTTTTAAGGAACAGATGATGGTTAAATCAGTACACACAAGATAGTATTTCAAGCAGCTTTGGACATAGGAGAAGACAGAACAAGTCTCAGTCCAAGTATCTGTTTTGCTGGTTGTCAGCTGCGAGAAGGAATGAGACCCTAATCGCTTCAGGGGAGAAAAAAAAAAAGGCAAAACCAAGTTTCAGCTATGTCTTCCCTTTGCTCAAACTCTAAGATTAAATATCATATAAACCTAATGCTAATGTCAAGTCACAGCAGTTTGGCCAGTGCTCAGAAGGATGAATTTGGCCAGGATTTAACGCAAGTGCAGAGTTTCTGCACCTTTACACTTGTCTGCCCGACCCACCAGAAAGCAGCAAAAACAGAATCGTTCTCCACAGTGAGGCCAAAATGTCTTGCTGCAACTTCCACTTTGAGGAGGTGGTAAAACCACCTGCTGGTGTCACCTGGGTAAAGATCCCTGCAACAAGAGGAAGGAAGGCGCTACAATACAGGCCGCATGTACCTCCCTCCTTCGTTTTGGCCAGCAGCATAACACAAAGCAGCAGCACCTCTTTCCAAGGAAGCTGATCCAGAAAACGGGTCCACAACCAACTGTTGTCCAAGACACTGAATGACACGAATAGAAACCACTTAAGTCTAATCCTCTGAGTCAACACATACAAACTGATCTTTATCTCTCCTGGAGTACTAAGTAAGAAAAAAATCTCTGTGTGATTCTGAACTGCACTGCTGACCACAAGAGGTCTGGGAGAAAGGTCACAAAATTCTGGCTTGCTTCTTCATTGCAGGTGCAGTAAGGTCACAGCAACCAGGTCACCTGGGCAGCATCATTTTGGTTATCAGAAGAACCTCATTCTTTACTCCTTCATTTTACTTGGTGACAAGAGTTCTTGCACCAGAAAAAAATTGTCACAGCTGATCCAGAAGGGGAAAATTAGTTCCAGGTTGTGCAGAAGTGTTTAACAGCTACCCTTAGCCAACACAACTGAAAGGTATAAGCTTCATCCTCCAACAGACTCATGTTTTTGAATCTCCTCTCCACAAATCAAATTAGAAAGTGCCAAAAGCAAAAATTGTTTCTAGGCTTTTGCACTGTTTAGAAGTATTCAAATAATTTATCAGAAGCTCGATATTCATGCTTCACTTTTATGATATTCTCTAATTATCAAAAGGAGACAAAATCAGATACGAGTGGGTAAATATGTTTCAGCAACCCTGATCTAAGCAGAGCTTCTTCATTAGCAGTAGCTAACCTCAACTTATCTAGAAGAGTGAAAAGAAACAATCTCAATTTAAATCCAAAGTAACATCTGAATTTAGGATTAACTAAAATACTTCCAAGAACACCGGCAATCTTTCCCAGGCTACAAAGACCCATTACTGTGATCAGCTGGGAGAAAGGTATCCGTGTCTAGGTCAAGGATAGGGCTTTTCTTTGAGACACAATGGACAAATAAGAGCACTTTCAGACTACAGAAGATTCACCATCTGACATCTCTGTCTGCTTCTCTAATAAATCTTAGAAAATCAGGGAATATACAGACTAGTGATAGTACAAATAAATTATCTGCCAATCAGGTTGAAGTGAGATACTCAGTAGTACTTCCCTCTCTCTATGCCTACAGAGAAAGACAAACACAGTAAGATTATGAAGAAGTCTTCATAAGAGGAGATCTAACAGAAGTGATTATTCTCTCTTCATTGAAAATGGAGCCAGCTGGGTTCAGATAGCTCATTTAATTTTGTAATCAAGGACCCATCAAGGTAGGATAAGCTAATCCAAGACACCTATTCAAGCCTATTCAACCTGACCTGAGCCACTGCATAGAAATGTCAAATATAAAAATGTTCCTGAAAACTGTTTTGCAGATAATTTTAAGCACTAATGCAAAAAAGTGGGTACAGATCTACAGCAGAAAACACAGACAATGCCTACTAAAAAATTTAGTACCTGCACTTCTATATGTTTATCTTCTCAGTATTTGTGTAGAGTTTACAGTAAGAACACATTAATAGAGAAAACAGAGAAAAAAATGTAGCAAAAATGGGTATACTGCTGATGAAAGCAAGACAGCTATGATCAAGACTTTGTATACTGCTCTATTCAGAAGACCCCAACTTCTGCACTACAAACTTTTAAGCTGTTCACAAGAAACCCTCAATCAGCAAAAATATTGAATAGTTTAGTTAATAGATGGTTAACTTTTAATTAATATTTTCTTAATAGCAAGTCAGCATTGAAAGTGAAATTATGTATTTAATAGCATCCTTGGATGCTATTTAAAAAAAAGCCACTATTGATAACATTGGCTATTTATGGTCCCTAGAGATAAAACTCAGATGGTGAGTGCACAGAGTCAGGTGTGACACCACGATCTTTCCAGATCCCAGACTGCAATTTGCAGTTCTGGCTCCCCTATCTTTACTCACATGAATGGAGAATAAAGTTACAAGATAAAAAGTAGAGAACTTGTGTTTCGGGCATCTCTAGTACAGGATGTTATGCTAAAAATTAATCCCAGATTGACCTGCAGGCTGGGACACACAGAATTGCCCTTCGCACTTGTAACTTCACAAGATGGATGCCAGGTTTCGTAACTCCCTCTGCAACCCTAAGGAATTCCTCTCACATAACATACTTCACATCCTTGAAGTGACAGAGGTTTGCCAAGGAGCTGAGACTCAACAGCCCAAGCTCTCGCTCTCACACACCTCCTTTAATCACGCCGCCGCAGCCAGCCTGAAGCAGCTCTAATGAGCCAGAAAAGCCCCTGCATTCAGG